CTCTCTCAGGAAGGGGCCTCACGCACTGAGCCAGAACTAAACTGTGGAGAGCGTCTGCAGCACTCATGCCTGTTTCCAGAACCCTGTGAAGAGTGGTGGAACCTGCCACAAGCTGGGACAACATGGCCTTCTTTCCCTTCTCCAGTTTGCACTGTCTCACACACCTGCTCACCCCCCCCCCCATGCTGGCACAGACCCCTTCCCCACAGCCAGACATGGAGCTTTCCTGCCGCTCAAAGGCAACAATTCCCTCCTACGCCCCTCGCTGGCCACCCAGGATGGTCCTGTCTGGACCATGGGGCGCTGTCTCTGCCTTTAGCAGTTGCTGCTGTTTGTGTGGACAGGGTCTTCATTGTCTTCCTGGTCGTTTTTAGCCCCAATTCTCTCCACAATTCCCTGCCTGGTTACCATGCGGCTAAGTCACACTGGTTCTGAAATATCAGTTGCGTCCAAGTCACTGGCAGACCTCAGAGAAAGAATTGAGGTATCCAGACTGTTTGGAGCAAAACTTAAGCCATCTTTCTAACCTATGCTTAGAGGCTTTATGCCAGAGTTGGGGGTTTTGACCGAGAATGAGGGGACTCCTTCACTTCTGGCTACGCTGGTTGTAGGGATCACTTGTCCACTCACATGGTGATCTTCACAACAGGCCAACAGTCACCTTTTTTTTTAAATTCCTAGAACCAGTCTCACGAGCAGGTCGGTACTATCAAGGAAGTTCATGTAATGGTGAGCTAGCCTTGCTCCCATCAGACAGGCAAATAAAAGCCTGGCCCAGTACACTGGGGCCTGATCTGTTCTCAGAGTCAGGCACTTCAAGATTCTAGCAGTTATAAACAGGATACAATTTAAATAGGAAGCATGGAAGGGGGCAGGGTGATCTCAGGCCAACTTGAAGGCTAGGCTCTGCATATAGCGGCCTAGGACCCTCCCTCCCTGGGATGGAGGCTGAGGGGTCCACCTCTAGCCACTTCCTTTGCTTCCCAGATCATGTGGGCACTGCATTAGTGGACAGCAGGGCTTCTGGCCACAAGTGGCTATCACCTGTACTCAAGAGGTTGAATCTTCTAGAGGAGGAGAGTTAGCTTGGCCTCCTAGGGTGGTTCAGTGTCTGCATCTTGTTGAGCTGGACAAGCTTTCTTTTCATCAGCTGTCTCAGGAATTGGGTCCAGCGGCCCAGCTTTTGTGTGTACACAATGAGGAGAAATGCCCCAAGAGACATCCAGGATTTAGGAACGTGCTTTTGAACGTGGCAGGGGCAGGGTCTTGGTCCCAAGTCTTCAGGTAGCAGATGCCATTGTACCTGGCAGAGCAGGAATGTTGGTGGAACAGGCTGCTTATCCCAGCGGGGTCAAGGCCAGTTTCTGCTTTCTAACCTGCTGCTATGTTTAGGTGAGAAGAATCACATTACTCCAAGCCCTGGGTTGTTGGAGCTCTTATCTTTGGGATGTTACAAGCTTAAGACAGTGGCTTATGAACTGAGGAACACGTCGGTATGAGCTGAGCGGTCTGCGCTCGGGCCCGCAGCTCACACCGACATGTTCATTTCATAGCCACACTGGAGTTCATCTTCATACTGAAAAACAGGTGGGGGTAGGTGGCACAATCTCCCAAGCAGCCAGCCTTCTACAGGTTTGCTGACTAACCATCCTCATTTGTCTGGGACTTTGGGAGCTAAAACCCAGGGGCAGTCAGAGGGAACTTGAAGTGGCTTTGTGTGGCACCAACCCTGACAGCTCACCTGTCTGTCTGGCTCTTCCTAGGGATCTTCACAGCACCGTACGATGGGCGCTACCTGATCACAGCCACCCTCACCCCCGAGAGAGATGCCTACGTGGAAGCGGTCCTGTCTGTCTCCAATGCCAGTGTTGCCCAGCTGCACACAGCTGGGTACAGGAGAGAGTTCCTGGAATACCACCGTCCTCCTGGGGCCGTGCACACCTGTGGAGGACCAGGGGCCTTCCATCTCATTGTGCACTTGAAGGCTGGAGATGGAGTCAACGTCGTGGTGACTGGGGGCAGGTTGGCCCACACAGACTTTGACGAAATGTACTCCACCTTTAGTGGTGTTTTCCTGTATCCTTTCCTCTCCCACCTCTAGGGAAGTCAGGAGGGGAAGGTTGTAAAAACTCCAAAGCTTTAATATATTCAGTTTATGTAACTGGAGCACTGGTCTAGTTTGCTACACACACTCCACCTGCCCCCAGGATAAAGGTCTTACCTCACTGTAGAGACTGCTACCCCTTAGGAGTTTACAGGCAGCCCGGAAAGTGACACATGGTTAATGTGGCCCCCATTTTTCTGGAACCCTAACTGGGCAATGAGAAGACTTGGCAAGTCCCTTTGGCTAGAAGCTGGCTTCTCCTGGGCTAGGCCTATTCGGTGCTACCTGTGGAGGTTGAAGCTGCTCCCCTGCTGGGCCTGCTGCAGCTGGAGAATCTGTAGTTGGCCTTCACTGGAGAACACTGGAGCGGATGCTTCTCTCTACACTGCACGTAGGAGAATTTAAACACTGAAGTGCTGATGGGGCCTGGACCCCGAGTTTAATCCGGGCTGTCCCACACTTGGCTTGCTGTTAGCGTCTGGGACTCCTCTCTGCTCACCTGGGCCCTGCTGCAAAGGGGGAGGTAACAGACACTATTTATGAAGCTTGCTGGTCTCCTTGAATGACATGTACAATGTAAGTGCAAAGACAGGGAGCATCAATAAAGACGTCGAAACCCCTTTATGTTCCTTCTCTTTACCTGATGCCTTATGGGTTAAAAAAAAGCAACCTAGAGAACTTTTTATGACTTGAAGAAGTAATCTTGTGTAAATTAATCCCAACCTTTAAACTGCTACCTGCCAGCTTCTAGGCTGTACACATTTGGGTTTTGATTTTGGCTGGTAAACACAGGCCAGATGTCCTTGAAGGTCAGGGCCTACCATGGTCTGTTAGGGGTAGTGATCTGGTTACAGGCTAATGAGACTGACTTCTCATTGCTCCACTGCACAGCTGGCTGGCAGGGACAGCACAAGAACTCTGGTTCCTAAGCAACAAGAGGGCCCAATAGGAAACGGATGGCTGACTGGAAGCTGAGATCATCTGAGAGGACAGGCAGATTAGTCTAGGAGGCCTAGCATAATTCTTTCCCAGCAGCTCCACAATGCTCTAGGCACATAGGAGGCATGTAGCTCAGCAGCTTTTGCTAACCAGCTTGTCTTGCTCTTAACCCAGTTGGCAGCAGAGGCTACTGCTGTAAAAATACCTTGGGTTTCAAGGGTTGTTGGAAGGCTGGCCCTGGACTGCACATCACATTCTAGAGTTCTCCGTTTCGACAGCTGGCTAAGGAGCTACCAGAGTACCCTTGCCTGTCGTAGCAATGACTCACGGGAAAATCTGAAGCAGCAGTGTTTTTAGGAAAACCCAGCTGGTGCACGTGCGTGCTTCTGCCCTTCCCCTCACACTCTTCTTTGAAGACCTTATTCAGTGCCAAAATGGCCAAGTGCTCAGTGGCTGGAAGGCAGCAGCCTGACACAAGACGAGTGGCCACTGTGTTCCTCCGAGCCCTCCTGTGTGTGACTCGACTCCTTTACTGGAAAAGGTGCACTTACTACACCCCCCCTCCCCAGTGGATCTAGAGGGGTGAGCCTGTGTTCACTGCCAGCCCATGCAGGAGACAGGTCAGGACAGCCAGCGCTTGTCTGGGGGAGGAGAGTTTGGAGCGGCCCCCCTAAGTCACCACACCCCTCAAGTCATGTGCCCATGAGTCAGGAATAAACTGAATTTAAGTACTTCCTCAGGCTTGAGGTTTCAATGACCTATAAAAATTCTGAGACAGGGTCTTGTTATGTCACCCAGGCCGGTCAAGCAGTCCTCCCAAACAGGGACGACCAGCATGCACCACAGGGCCTCCTTGTTCAGGGTACAACTTCTGAAATCAAGGCGCTGTTGGTTACTGAGAAAAAGGGCAGCACTTAAGGACTGGGGCATCTTGCTGACATGTACCACCACCAAACAGGACTGTCTGAATGACTAAAAACTGCTGCTAAATTGAACCCCCAAGGAGGAATGCAAGTCTGTTCGTGGTGTATTTTAAGTCATTTCTACATCAGCACGTGGCCAGCATTTCCAGTGATAACTGTTCTTGCTTCCACACACTGGCAGCAAGAAAGGGAAGTAGACACCTCAAGTCTAGGCCTGTGGCTCTCAAGAGCGACTCTGGCCCCTATTCGCTTCCTAAACATCCATCTGTGTTCTCCTTACGCCATCTTATAACGGGAAGGAGGGACACAAGCAGACGACAGGGGTGGGTTTCCACTGCGCAGGAGGGGTGCACAAACTGGGTCCTCTGAGCTCATGAATGGATGCCGCCTCTACTCTCACGGCACTTTAAACTGTTCTGAGGAAAACCCCATTTTTCTTTTCTAATCAGTCTCTTCCTTTCTAGGTCAAAGTACACCACCAAAAGACCTGGGGTTTCTCTCACCCCAGCCTCTCGCCATAGAAAAGCAGCATCAAACACAAAATTTTCATTAAAGGACCTGTGATCCAACAGGTGTAGTAGTATCCACTGCCCGGTGATCTGAAGGATCACCTATGTGATGTGGGTTGTGATCAAAGATCATGTCCACTCTGCTCTCTGATGGAAACATCAAGACTGTTACCTGCCACATACCTCAAAAAGGGCTTAATAAAGGTGGGGTATTCAAGGCTGAGCAGGACTCCTAGGAGACTCTGAAAGGCTGCTGTGGCAGCCAGACTATAGGAGAAATGATGTCTCAATCAATCCCTTCTTGGCAGAATCCACAAGGTAGAGGCCTTAGTTCCTGTGGATGGACCTTTACTTCTGGAATCAGGGTTCACAGGTGAGCAACAGGAAGTAGTTCCTTCCTTTAGACAATTACGTCAGCAAAGACAAAAATGCTATTCATATATGACTGACAATTATACTCATCAACCTCTGGCACCAATACAGATAAGATGGTCAAATGCCCTGTAAAGGAAAGAGCCCAATGCACTCAGTTTATGTTAGTTTATTATTGTAACATTTTGTTGTGAACATCAAACACTGCACCAAAATATGAGCCGTTCATCTGAAGACATCTTTACCATAACTGAGGTACTGCACTGGTGTTTACGGTTACACAACTTAAACTGCTTAGTGACAATGCCGGCTAATAATCAAATACGTCATCAGCTGAACACAGTTATTAAAAGAGCAATCTTTCCTCTGCCTTCAAATCAAAACAAAACGTTTTCACCTGAAAGAGCACTTACTTCACCCAGTTTTCAAGAACCCCCAGCATGCTCTTAAGCTCAGAAACGCAGTGTCCCAGAGCGATACAATGAAGGTCTAAGTCGAGCTCCCTGCAACGACCAATTTGCAAAAAGAGAAGGTTGTTCATGTCACCTTAACCGTTTCTCTCTCTCTCTCTCATGGACGCCATGCTGCAGGAGTACTACAGAAAGCTGGACCCGTCCCATGGGCAAAGGGGCTTCGAAGGACAGAAGCTTCCCTGCCGCTTGGCTCTGGTCCTTGTCCCTTCTATGATTTTTAGCAGCTTTAGTTTGGGGTCATCACAATAGGACATTTCTTTTCCCAACTGGAACTATGCAGACAGGTTAGACCACAGGAAATGCAGTACTGATCACAGGGTTAATGTGCATGCTCCAGGTCCACATGTGCATCCCATAGCCTGATGCAGAGCAGCCATCAATTCTATAGCAGTGCAAGCTTCAACACTCAACATCAAAGCAAACACTCAAGTCAGAGTGAACTGGAGGACTGAGGGGCCACTTCACTACGCAACAGCTGACCTAACAACTCAGAGGCCAGTCCGCCAGCAGCGTCCCTTCAATATCACCTGTCACCGACGGCAAGGGTGAGACTGCAACAAGCCAGCTAAGGGTTTGTGTGCAAACACACTTGAAGGCATCTCTCTTTCACAGAAAGAACAAATGTCATTTGTAACAAATGGCAATGGATTTTCAGCACAAACCTAATACTTCATAACACTACAGTAATAGTAATCATCTACTTTTAGCGAGAAGACTCCTTTAAATAAGGAAAAAGAGTTACATTCATTAGCCTAAATACCCACTGATCAATCTGTAGTGACAAGTGCAGGGCTAATGGACACCGGGGCAGAAGGATCAGCACAGGCCAGGAGCCCCAGATCCTAAGCCGGGCCCTCTGAAAAGGCCCGTGTGTCCAAAGAACAGTTTGTCAAGAAAAGGAAACAGACTACCTAGGCAAAAACTCCATAAAGGGCAAACTAAAACAGTCTAAGGAGGAAACATGATAAGATTTTCTGTATCAGAGATTCTACTAAGCTCAGGTTAAGCACACACAACTCTCATTATTCCTTAAAAGTGCGCCCAAGTCCCAGGAGGTGCTGATTAGCTTGACAGCATCAAGTGCCATGTGGCTGCTTTAGCAGAATCTTACTTCACTAACTGGGAAGAATTCACACAAACAACCGAGTTTCCCTACTGCCTAACACAAATAACTCATGAAGGAGACGTCAACTACTTATGGGGAACGTCAGCACTGTGGAAGCCTGTATTGCCCCTTCTCTGGGAGCATGTGCCTCCAAGTGGTTTTGCCACTGAGAACTATGTTCAAAGAGGTTTTTTTCTTCTTTTATTAAAGAATTTTACCATGGTCTCTGCATTCAACTGCAATACTGAAATGAGGCAGGGACACTCAACTCTCCAATCTGGAAAATAACCACCCCTTTTCTAAACCAACTCTAGGTGAGTATTATGTTAGGTGAAGCAATCTAAAACACTGACAAGGCCATCCATCTAACTACAGGGCATGCAGAGTTGGAAGTGGAACCATCTTGATCTGCAGCCCCTCTCTGCTCAGAAGCATCTTCCCAGTGGAGGGCTGTGACCAAGAACCACTGAAGGTCTCTGGGATGCCTTCTGCCAACACTCTCTTGATGTTCGCACTGCAGTTGACTGTCCACACCCAGCTGATCATAGGCTCTGGAGATTCCAGGACACAACCCTCCCTGGTGCCATCTGTCCTGACATTTGACAAGAGCACTTAACTAGGCCAGTGCATGATGCTGCCAAGGAAATGAAGGGTACCCCCACATTCCCATGGGGCCACATCTGCAGTGTCAACTGAGTTAGAGCTGGCAGATGAGTCACAACAATGGGCTGGAGCCACTGCTGAGGTGCTAGCTCTCAACAGGCACTCCATGACTCCTGTCTCCCATGCCTCCAGGGACTCATTACATGGCTGAAATCCAAATGACTGGTCAATGCCACTAGCCAAAGGCTTTCCCCTGGCAACTCTGAAGCCCAGAATTCCAGAAACCCTGTCCTGAAATACCTACTTGCAAAGGGCCACTAATGTCAGGTGACACTGTCAGAGAAAAGGGTAACAACTCCCAGGACCCAGGGCAACTGCCTTTCTACATTGTAAGGCGAAGCTGCTGCCTTTTTCTGTATTTTAAACCAATTTTTCACTCTTACTCCAGACATAAAATATGCATTTGTTCTTCTGGCTAGGTTAAAACAGTAACTTAAACAGCTTCTTCCTCACTGTGCAGCAGGCGCAGGTTGAGAAGATGATGATGCCGGGTGCTCTCCCCCACGCCCACGCTGGTCTAGTGGGGCTGGTGGTGCTGGCACACGAAGCAGCTGTCCTAGTTCAGTGTTCAAGAGTGGAGTGTCCTGAGGAGGACATGTACATGAAGCTACAACACTAACTGGACCTCTGGAGAAAGCCCTGGTTAGAGAGAGAAACGATCTCAACTGAGCAGTGGAAATTTTAACTCTTTACTGTGTGTAGTCATGTGCTGGTCCATTCTTTTTCAGTTTCTGACTTCTTCCATGTTAAGTTATGCAGGTGAGTGGTGCACAGCACACACCTCCACAGGAAGCATGTGAGGGACCCCATGGGACGGAGCACAGGCTTGTACCTCAGGCTGAGTCCCTTATTCCTCTGTCCAGGTGCTGAGTGGTGGCCTGGGAAGGTGAATGAGGGCGGCAGTGCCAGCTTCGGGGACCCTGTCCCTGTTCTGGAAAGCAGGTTCCTGACTGCCAGCCCCTGGATCTTCATCTGTAAGAGGGCCAGTTATCTTCCCTGCTTAGAGGTGAGTGACAGTGACCCCACCTTGCCATACAGGCCCTGTTCAAGCTAGGTCATCCAGGTCCACATCAGGGATTGGGTCTCGCCAGAAGCAGAAGGAACTGAACTCTGGGCAGGGAAAGGCAGAATTCTGTTCCTTACTGAGGAGTGGGAACACGTGTTCCACAAGCTCACTCAGCCTGTGATACCTGGAAGGGATTGGGAAGAGATACAAGTGTTACTTCACAACTTATGTCTAGCACAAAGCCATGGGCTGTGAAGCTGGCTTTTCAGATAAAGGTAAGAGGGCTGCTCAGCATTTCCTCAGAGCTTGGCCCTACCCAAGGTCCAGACTGTCTTCCATACATAAAATAACCAGAGATTCCTTAAGCCACCATCCTCAAGGAAAACGCTCACAGAGGTATAGCTCTGCTCCTCCTGCTTGGGCCCTGTCTCAGTTCTTAGTTGTCCTCAGCTGCACCCTGGCTGCACCCTGAATGCACTTACGATGACTTGTTTCCTTTGGTCCTTTCTTGTATTAATTCACCCTTTGGATTCACGGTGAATATTCTACAGTCTGGAACTCCGACTTGTGTGTAAGCATAGACATCCTGCAGAAGAAACAAAAACTTAGCTGGTTCCTCCTAGCCAGAACCACTGCATTGGCTGAAGCCTGAAGTCTTTAGACAAACCCAGAAAGTGCACAGGGAGTCAGAAAACGGGCAGCAAAGGAGCAAAGCAGGGTCCTCTGAGAATACTGAAGTAACATCTTTAGTACACCCAGAGATGGAGGGTCCCCTCCCCCAACAGGATGCAGTACAAAAGGCAGGGTGAGAACTGTCAATGAAGAGGCAGTACTTGCACCATGGTTCTGGTGTGGATTCAAGGGCACGGCTCAAGACCAGTTACAATGTGGGCAGAAATGACTGAGAAAATACATTCAAAGTTGGGGGTGGGGGTGGGAGTGGGGCAAAGAACGATATCCTTCTGTATATACTCCTGGGGCCAAAAGCTAAGTGCAGGACTTCCCCAGCTTCTAGGAAAATTTGAATAAACCTGGCCCCTACTGAAAACCTGTAATCCTCGCTACTCAAGTGGCTAAGGCAAGATTTCAAGTTCAAAGGCTACTTAAGCTATAGAACGAGTTCAAGGCCAGCTTGGGTAACTTACTGGGCTCTTGTTTCACCAAAAAATTTAAAAAGGGACTGGAGAGATACTCATGGTTAAGGGCACTTGTTGTTCTTGCAGAGGGACCTAGGTTTGATTTCCAGCATCCGTATGGTGCTCAAAATCACCTGTAACTCTAAATTCCAGGAGATCTGATGCCTTCTGACTTCCACAGGCATCAGGCACACATGTGGTTCAATATATATACATGTAGACAAAGTACTTATACACATAAAATGAATTACAATTTTTTAAAGGGTTGGAATAACACAGTTCAACGGTAGATTACATGGTTAGAATGCGCAAGGTTCTAGAGACCCCACGGGGCAGAGCAGCCATTTTCCTCTGCTTATAGATCTGGCTTGAGAACTGTAACATGGCTGTGCCCGAAAGGCAGCTCTGCTTGAATTCTGCTCACACAGAATCGACACACACTCCAAAGACACTTACGTTAGGACGGTTTCCAAAGGCAGCATAGAAGGGCTGCTTGGACGGGGCAAAGAGGTTCTTAATATCATTCAGACACTCAATTTTGAACTTCTCTGGTTTCTTTTCTATCACTTCCCTAAAGAAAAAGAAATACAAGCACCAAGTTCAAAATGGTAGTTTTACTAAAGTATGTTCTCGGACAGATCTTCATCCCCACATCACCCTCCTTTCTTAATCCTGGGCATGGTCAGCATCCTTCCTCTTTGGCTTGTCAGTCTCATGACAGAATGTCTGGGTGATAACGCTTGTGGGAAGTCACACTTTCCTTCATCATCTCTGAGCACTTCAGAGAGCAGCAAATGAAGAAACAGACACTCTAGAGCCTGGGAGCCTGTCCAGAGTTCTGTCTGTTCACATACTCCACTGGGCCCTGGGCTCTAATGCTCCCCCCACCCCAGCCCCTGGAGGAACCCAGCATAGCCACTGGGGCTACCTGTGGAAGGCAGAGAACAAACTGCTGGGAGACAGCATCAGAGGGCCTCGGGGCAGGATCGTGCCCTTGTCATTGACCCAGTGCAGATAGCCACGGGTCATGTCGGCCATGCCAATGGCACGTGCGGAACAGTATAGAAACTTGTAACCGTTCCTAAAACAACAAACACACATACAAACAACCTGGTTAGCCATGGGTTTTGGATCAAGGAAAGACAATTTTTTTTTTCCTTTTAACAGATTCAAATTAAGGTCTTCTCATTTACTTTGAAAATGAAATTACTGACCTTAGAAAGAAACCAGTTAGGGTTAGAAACTATGGGAAAACAGGATTGTATTAAACTGCAAAGCCCTGACAGAATGCATGCTGACCTAGTTCAGAAACAGACCCAGAGTGGGCAGACCTGGACTATCTGTAAGGTGGTATCTGCTGTAAATGAACTATCTATGGGGCCTTATTCAGTCTGTAGGTCACAAACTATTCCACAGGACAGGGGGCATAATCACACCCGAGTAGCTGACATATTCTGATTTTCATAAGATGGTGTTCTCAACTCAAGTTGAAGATGGCACTATATATCTCCAGATCAGTGGCACATGGACATGCTAGGATCCCAAAAAGGATGGTATGGCTTCTCTTGAGCAACTGTTTTCCATGCATGCTTATGCTATCTACCCAGTAAATAAACCAGATATGAAAATCCTGATAAATCTTAGCCACAAATAGTTACAGTTCTGACGACCTAGCGAAGTCGGTGGTTCCCAGAACTTAGCTGAGTTATGACAGGTAAAACCACTAATACCACCCACCCACGCTTTTGAAAACAACCAAAAACTATCTAGGCCACAAACACACAATGTGTACAGATGTATATTATTTTTCTCGAGTTCTTGGTCAAAGCACAACTGGGAAGAGGATGCATGGGAATGAGTACTTACTCATTGATAGAATGGTAGAGCTTCGCTATGCCCTGATGAGTCCAGTCTTTACCCAGTTGTGGGAGAATCTGTCCCAAGGCATCAGACCTGGTAAGAGGGGTAGAAACAGAAACAGATATCAGAAACCAACATATAAGGCTGAGCATTTTCCATATTTGCTGCCAATAAGCACTAGGTGGGGGTGCAAGCTGGGGACACTCTCCCAAGCTGGTTTCATCCTGACTCTGTGCAACTGCAAGGCAGTCCTGCAATAATACACCCTGAGGTGCTCCTAAAAGGGAGTTATAGGAAAGCACAGTATTTATTTTCAGGGATAATCTACTAGCACATCTTTTTTTTCTCTCATCCTTAAAATCTTAACAGTTTGTCTTGTTTGAACATTAGAATTTGGGGACTAAATAGCCAAATCTTTCCAAGTTACTTTGAGAATTCATTTGTATGGTTACATAGACTTTCTCCTCACCCATAAAAATGACTCCATTTGGGCTGTTTTCAGGACATCTAAGGGCATATGGTTTAAAAGACACTCATTATTGCTGAGGACTGACTGCTTCCCCAACCCACACCCTTCCTGCCGCCCACAGTATGCCAAGCTCACTTGGTTATTGTTCCATCGATGTCAGAGATGATCACTTTGTCATTCCAGTTCCACAGGTAAATGGTACCCGCACAGCGACAGGTGCCCTGATACTGGGTTGTAATACTGAACACCACGTCATTGGGGCCATCATGAAGCTTCAATTTTGCCTTTTATAAAAAACACAACATTAAAGCAAGTTTAAAGCTTTACAACAGAACTCAGGGCATGTAGTTTCCTTGGTGTTAGCATGTAGCATGGTAATAATGGTTGAGGAAGCCACACTGCTTGAACTGTTTTCCAATTCTAAGGATTTCCTGATAACCTCCCTATCATCCATCATACCTAAACTCACTAATCACTGCCCTGGCCACAGCCTCATGCTCAATTCAGTAAAGCCATTTCATAGTCAAACTGTGTCCAAATGAGATGTAGGAAATTGCATTTAAAATGTCACTGCTCTACTGTTATGAATCCCAAGAGGCAGTATGTGGTTCTGTGCTGAGTGAGGAGCAAGATTCACTAAAGACACCTGCTAAAAATACCCATTCCTGAGTCAGGCAGTGGTGGCGCACGCCTTTAATCCCAGCACTGGGGAGGCAGAGGCAGGCGGATCTCTGTGAGTTCCAGGCCCGCCTGGGCTACAGTGAGTTCCAGGGAAGGTGCAAAGCTACACAGAGAAACCCTGTCTCAAAAAAACCAAAAAAACCCCAACCCCCCACCCCCAACAAAAACCATGGAAAACAACAACAAACCAAAACCAAAAAACTATTCCTTGGTTCATTTCCAGAAACTGAGGCAATAGTTCTCTGTGGGCAGGACCCGGGTCTCAGGCTCCCTGAGCGGTCCTAATTGCTCACCAGGGTTGGGGTGCTGTTCTCCTAGAGAAGTTCATAGCGCACAACTCTACTGCACAGTACTCACTATCTGGTCCGAGGAGAGCCGGAGCGACTTCTTATAGGAAGCTGTGCTACAGTGACCCAGTGTCTCGATGGAGATGGTGTCGACTTTGATTGTTTCTTCCAACTCCTGGGACCCCTCGTCACTAGAAGTATCGTTCTCTGCAGGCCTAGCCAACAGCACACTAGTCACAAAGAGGCAGGGCATTTGATAGAGCTTTTATAATTTAGGATGGAAAATAAACAAGTGTCACATGTCCATAATCCCAATCTCTAGAAGGCTGAGGCTGAAGAATCTGCTCAAGCCTTGGCTATACAGGAAGACCTGGTCTCCAAAAACCAAAAAACCTTAAACCCCTTCTAGGACAGCAAGAGTTGTTTTTTCCAACACTTATCCATATCCATTTATTTATGCCTTAACTATTAGCATCACAAATTTAAAAGGCCACTATCTGTCTCCCTGTAAGTGGCATGAAGTTACTTCTGTATCTTTTAAAACATCACTGGGATAGCAGGACATATTTCTGAAGTTAGAAAGTTCACTTTATACTTCTTTTCTAACAGAAAGTGAGAAGAGCAAGAAGATAAATTCCTAGACTAGGATTGCCATGTGGGAGTGGGACGAGGGTGTGGGGTTGAGAATGTAAGCATACACAACATGCTCAACTATCCTCAGGCTGAGCCAATTCCAATGCCCAAAGGAGAGGACAATGTACCCACACCCACCCTTTAGAAGCTTTTTCATGTCCTTTCTGCCACCTTAAAAGCAGGGGGAGTAGGGGTACCAGCACAACAGGTACCCCAATCATTCCAGGATCCCTTCCCAAAGTTCTGCCTTTCCTAGTAGCCTGGTTCTGTGCTGGGCACAGTAGTTAGAAGCAGTGATGTGTATTGACGTCTGTAAATTGGGAAAGGCAGTTCTTATCTACCAAGTGGCACTGACAAGCCACTTAATGTCACGTCATGTCTCTCTATAGGAAAAAGGTATTTCTGGCTAAAAATTCAGCAAAATTGCCAAGATCAACTTTGATGTAACACCCAAGCAGGATTGACAGAGTGCTGTGAGCTAGGATAAAGGATAGGGACCCACCTGGCACTGATTGGCTCCTCAGCACTAGAAGGCAGATCATTTGTTGGCGGGACCTCAGATTTTCCCTCTTTGCTCTCTGGCAGCTGAAAGAAAGATGATAATGTCAGTGTACAATGTTTTCTCCAGACTTCAGCTCTCATTCTTGCTGGGAAACAGAAACCTCAACCCAAACTGGAAACTTGAGGGACTTTCTCCACTTGAAGCCGAAGGGCAGAAATCATATATATATATGTCCACAAAATATAACTAACTGGCCCAATGGTAGAGACACCTGGACTCCACTACCAAAGTGACCACTGGTGCCTTCTCCTGGGTCACCTGCAGAAGGGGGAAAGCAGTCAGAGACCACACTGGTACAGATATGCACTTGGTAAAGGCAGGAGCACCACCCTCTGCTATCTGAAAAACTATAGGTGGAACTCCCAGAATTCTCTTCTTTAGAAGGCTCATTTAGTGTGGGTCTCTGGACAAATATGCTCTCCTGCTACTTGGCTAAAGGGATATTCTGCATGCTTGTATGTGGCTCTGTGCAGAACTGTCAGCTCCTGTTCACACCTGAGAGGTTACACAAGTGCAAAGAGCACAGTTCTGGAGCCCCTTCAAGGCTAGTTCCAGCTCCACTCTCACTACTCATGCAGCTTCACCCAGCTCTGCCCACCAAGTCCAAGCTCCCGATAAACAGCAGTTCAAACATCTGTAGAAAGCACCCGTGCAGCACCTGCATGCAGTGACTCCTCCTGCCAAACAGCGCCCGTACCCTATACTTTGTATGAGTGGCAGACAAAGAGTTGTTTCAAATCAAATCGGAGTCATTACCTGTTTGGTCATGCTCTCTCTCTTACGCCAAAACCACCACCGACCAGATTTCTTTGGCATCTTGTCTTTAACCCAGGACTCGACCGTGGCCTGCAAACAGTCAGTGTGGGTTAACAGGAGATCTGGTGGTTGCAAATCACTGATTCCTCACTACCGTCCTCGGACACTGCCTTCTTACAGAATGAGTGATGCTCTACACACCGCTCAAACCCATCTATGCTTTCAGGAGCCCAGAAAGAAAGGCAATGCACTCCTCCTTTGCTTCAGGGCAGTTTTGTGGTGTGAACCCAGTGGACCTCAGGGTTCTGCAAGCAGACAGACGGCTTTCACCTCTTATCTTTGGAACCTGTGGCTTTTATGATACAAAAACTGATTATGCAAATGATATCTTGTGGGTGGGCAGAAAGTCCTATGTAACAGGCATTCCAGCCACCATCTGACCCAGCCACACTGATGTCACCTTTCTAGTGTGCACATCACCCACTTGTTGCTTCTTCCCATATTGAGAAGAAAATATTTTATGCCTCGATTCCATCTTTAACTGATGATTTAATAAAACCTATCACTCCCATTCCTTTTGTGCTACTGGCAACTGAACCCAGACCTTCACACACTCAGGAAAGTGCTCTATCACTGAGCACTCTAAGTCTCTAACTCTGAAACTGGTCTAAATAAACACTTAACAAAAAATGAGGAAAAGTGGCAGGCCACGTCATTGCCTAGGATTTAGTGGGTGAACACAGCAGATTGGATCTCTGATATAAAATACTACACTCAAAACCTTGAATAGAACCCAATAATACAGAATATAAACTTTTGGACTGCTAGATGTTACAGATACTTTGAAGGAGGTTTCAAATGCAGACCACTCACCTTAGGCAAACTCTTCTGGAATACTTGCAAGCTAAGGATCATGGGAGCGGCCAAAGCCCAGTTGTAGTAACTATGAGAAACGAAAATTGTGCAAACCCATTACACAGAGAGTCAGAAGCAAAGTAGGGTGGGGGAAAGGGCTGGGGCAGAGAGAGGGTCGGGGGACTAGAGAAAAGTAGAAAAACTATCTATCAAATTGTTCATTCTCTCCAATAAATAGATGAGCAACGGAATTTTGAAGATTTGCTTTAAGCCAAACTTCTGTGAGCTGAGAAGCAGTAAATTCCATCAAGCAGAGTAACAGCACTGCAATGACTCAGTTAAAAATAAGCTGGAGCTTCAGTCTCATCTGCAAATCATTGTTTGTTGGCTCATTTACGTGATGACAAATTTTATAGCAAGGAAAACAATGACAGTTAAAAACTGTCGAGTACGTAGCAATGATCAGGCAACGGTATTTACCGGTTATATATCCGTATTACCAGGTTCGGGTTGTCGATAAGGCCAGGGTTTTCTGCAAACTCATGGTAAGTGATGATATGCTCCATGAACTTTTCTGCAAAGGAGAGCAACCGTCAGCTTGGTGAGAGATGCACAGATCCCTGTAGGAGACGGTTATAGTACTCTGCACCAAAAGACTTGTGGGCTTTTAAAAAGGCTTTTAGAAGAAACTTTTCCATATTTATCAAAAGATAAACTACACATATAAATACACTTTAATATTTTTAGGACTCAAACAACCAACCTAAACCCCAAACCAACATAAGAAAAAGCCCACCACCTTTCTAGCCTCCTTGCAGCCCTGCTGCCATGTGTGAGGCAGCTCTGGGCTCTCTTCACCCAGTCTCGTTTTCACATCTTTAGTCTTTGAAGGGGAGAGGAGACAAAGGACAGTGCTAATGTGACCACAGTGTTAGTCATGGAAAGGAAATCCTGCCCTTTAGGGAAAAGCCATTACAGGCCAGTGGCCAAACTGACAAAAGCCTTAACTGAAAGTGAATCTAAAGTTGCCAGCAGGACCAGCTCTGCCTGGACTACCCAGGTCAACCCAGGCATCCTGTTCCAGTGTTATTTAAACTATGACAGAAGGGAAGCAGATCTCGCTAATGGCACACCGCTTGCCTAGCATGTTTATTTAACACAGGAGATGGGGGAGCAAAGGCTGGAAGAACATGGGACAGACATCTCTCAAGCCTGAGAAAGGAGGTAATCCCACTTGTTGCTAGTGGACAGCCATGTCCCACAGCTTCACAGTCCTCCCTCCCTGAGTCCTAGGGTCTGCCAGGAAGGCAGCTGGGGCCCCAGCCCCACTCAGATATGTCAGCAGCTTGACATACAAACACGATCAACGCCACAGGACCCCACCCTGCTGCTCTGCGGAGAGCACAGCCTGTAAGTTATCAACTTCTGAGTCTGAAATTAGAGTCCTCAAGGCAGAAGTCCTCACAAAACCACCTACCCCACACAAAGGCACTGTGAAACTCTAAGGACAAGGCCTTATGGAAAGGGACCCATACTCACACAAGGCCAGTCAAGAATTCACACATCATACCATGTTTAAAAGCAGATTTCATTAATTTCTTCCCCTCATGCCAGTAATTTATTGAACAGAGGCTTGGGCACAAAGACAGATGTTAAAACAAGAGATGACCTGGCTACCCTCCTGAGGTGAAGACAAGCATGGCTGTCCAGCATACCTTTAGAAATCTCTCCATTCTCACTGAGGCCTCCACAGAGGGAGAGAGTGACATCAGGCAAGTCCATGGCAGAGTCTGAGAGGCACTCGGTGCCACTGTCTGCAGCTGCACTGCCCACAGACTGTGGGGACTGAGAGCCAGAGAAGGTGTCGGACTCGGGCCACTGGCGGGAGCCAGGGTCTGTGTCACTGTGGCAGAGGGAAGGAAGGAGAACCAAGGATTTAGTCTGGTTTTGCCTTAGTACATGGTCCTTAGAACCCTACGAGGAACAGCTGGAAAACCCAACATAACTTTTGGGGTGTATGAGTGTATGATGTATGCATGTAAGTGTGGGGTAACCCACACATGAGAAGGGTAGAGCGAGGTGTAGTCAGGCGTCCTCCTCCATCACTCTCCGACTTGCCTGCTCCTGGGATCTACCTGTCTCCAGCACCCAATGCCGGGGTTAGAGGCACAGGAAGCACCACGCCCTTTCTATGTGGGTACCTGGGATCTGAACTTGGGCTCTTATGCTTCTCACAGTTAAGTGCTCTTATCCACCAAGCCATCTTCCCAGTGACCCCCTCCACAGCCTTTTAAAGCAGTGTTTCAAAACCACACCATAAGTGACTAGTAAGAATCTGAACACTAAGAAACACATGTAGGAAACACTTCACAAAGCCACTCCCAATGGAGTGCCCGCTGTTCACCTGGGGCCTTCCTGACTGTAATTAAAGAAGTGAGAAGCAGTTACTTCAGTTGTGAAGATGAAATAACAGACAGTTAAGACACTTGGGAGCCCTTTGATCACAGCACTCCAAGAAAAAAGTCATGGTAATACATGCAACCTGTGGAAAATGGTTAAGTCCAAAGCTGCTTTCTTAAAACAAAACCCAAGGTTTTTTCTAAATTCATCTTAACACTCTCTAAAACTAACCTAATTTAAAAAGCATTAACACTCAGGAAAACAGTACTCAGGAGGCTATCTAGAACAATGCAGACTGTCTTTACAGCAGTGAGGTCTGGACCTTTCTCGAGATAAGGCACAGAAAGTTCAGTGCCAGAAGGTGAGCACAATGACCCATTGGAATGGAACATAAATGTGAAATAAGGAAATGGCACATTACATTTCTTAGTCACAAATGTTAACTACTTTTAACTCTGGTGAATATTTAGTATAATATTTGAGATGTTCAGATGTTTTTTCCTAGAAGCTAGCTCCCCCTCCTTTTTTAGTACTGGGGATTGAACCCAGGACCCTCATGTGTGGGAAGGCAGGCACTGGGCCACTAAGTGACATTTCCAACCCAAGAAGCCAGGATTTTAAGTTTTATTGAAGCAAAGCAAAACACGACCCATCTGGTGAAATTAACATGAACTTCTGAAAAAAGTCTAAGAGAGGAGTAGTAGGTGGCAGCAGAGGGTAGAAATGCAGACATGTTCTTAGCAGGAAGTTAGTTTATGTTTGGGGAAATTTTCTCTTCATAGCAGTTCACAGCTTCAAACTAAAATGAAACTGACAGAGACCGTCTCCTCCTTAGAACTGGTTGAACGGCCAAGCCCACTGAGACACGGCAATGCGCCAAACTCATGCAGTGAGGGGCAGAGAGGCAACACCCATGCCTGGATAAAACCAGAGAGGGCTGTGTGTTCTGTAACCCTTGTGTTGTCTTTACCAGGCACACGAGGAGTCTCTGTAAGCCACCCGACTAAGCTGTGGATGTGGGAGACACAGTTCTACCCACTGCCCACTAAGGCCCTTTCTCCTAACCCTGTCTGTTCCTATGTGGAGCCCTGAGACAGAAGAATGCCTGGATGTGGGCCTCCCACCAACACTAGTGCTGGAACGCTATCCCAACAGTACAACATGGAGCTTTATCAGTTGCAGCAGCTGGCATCCTTCGACCAGTAAGGGCATGTCACCATGAGGGATGCCATCTGACTCAGCATGCTGCAAACACACAGGAATGATAGGACATGTGTGAACACTGGATGCATAAAACATGACTACTTAGTAATACAGTGACAATCATGACAGAGAATACTTACTGTAATAAAATAGTGTAGGACATGTCCCTGTTTTCAGCCCTTCCTTGTAAGTGTGGCTAATGAACAGACAGTAACTTTTACCAGCAGAACTATAACCAAGTATGGAAGGTTCCACTGAATCAGTGACGATTTTCTTTCCTTTGCTTTTTTCCTGTTTTGTTTTTTGGGTTTTTCTATTATGTAGCTCCATCTGGCTGTCCTAAAATTCGTTATGTAGACCAGGCTGGTCTCTAATTCACAGAGATCCACCTGCTTCTGCCTCCTGAGTGCTGAGATTAAAGATATGTATCAGTATGCCTGACCTTGCTCCCTATTTCTTAATAGGGATATTTTAAAAATCTAGTGTAAAAGTAAAGTAAAAAGACTGGAAAATATAAGAGAAAGTCATAACTCTAAGAGATGACATTTTAATTTTTCCTACCCTTAAAAAACTGGACCAATTTCAATTTTTTCATCTTTAAAAACCTATAACTTCAAATACAGGATGTAGGTATTTTAAGATAATCTAGTGTATAGAGTTAGAAACAAACTTTAAGAATCTCCTAAAAATTATTAAAAAATCTTAAGTATATTTATATCATTCTCATTTTTCCATTCCAAGTAAAAATGAAGTATGTTTTCCCAATAATTCATATAAAAGAATATAATTGTGTATAAAGCACAGTAGATTCAGGCCATGTTTTCTGAGAAAATAAATTGTGTTTTATAATCAGCATATTAAGTAGTAATCCCTCTTAGGTTACAATTAACCTGGGAAGACAGTCAACGTATATTGTGTTTGAGGTTCGTGGTCAAGTTACTTTAAAATAATGAGGGGTGGGAGAATGGTGTTGTGACATGGCAGGGGCATGAGCAATGTGGGGACACAGAGTCCCCTGGATGGGGCCTTAAAAGACTCAAGTTCAGAAGTGGCCTCACACTCTTCAAAGGAGTAAAGAAATTCTTTGTAAAATGTTTGTAAATTAAAATGTGGTATTTTAAAATACACAAATAAAATGAATTTCCTCAAGCACATTCAGTTTGTTATGAGTGACTATAAAGAGCACCAAACTAGGGCTACCAGAAGGCGAGGCAGGTAAAGTGCTTGCTGGGAGACTCTGACAACCTGAGGTTGATCCCTGGAACCTGCGTGGTGGAAAGAGAGAACTGACCCCGTTGTTCTCTGCCCGCCATAAGTGTGCACTACAGCACCAGCACAACACACACGCACGCACGCACGCACGCACGCACGCACGCACACACACACAGTCTCAAATCTCTTACGTGGCTCTCTCTCCTTATTGTACTAGATATTTTACAAACAATATATTACTTTCAAGTCACGACAGCCAAAACAACACACACTATGAGCTTCCCCAAACCTGAAGCAATAAGCAGATTTAGCTAAAAGACTATCACTCTGTTCCTCTTGCTCAGATGAAATAACTGGAGTTTCTCAAGCTGTCCACACCTCAATGCACAAACATACATTACCTTTTAGGGAAATAGAGAGCTGCCACTTCAGGCTCAAGAGCCTTTAAGTCATCAAGGTAAATGTCATCAGGTCCCTGGTGCTGACTTCTTTTGTGAACACCTGTTTTTAAAAGAGAAACACACCGGAGGTTAGAACGTGTTCTCTGTTTACAACTCTGCAATAACATGCGGTTTTTAAACAGGGTAGGCGCTAGCTGCCTGAAGCCTTGCCCGTGCCCTTGCTTGTGTCTGTTTCTTCTTCTTCTTCCGTGTGTCTGTCAATAGCACTGTAGCTCTACAGAGAGTATCTTAGTTGGCATATCCTGGGGTCTAAAAGGGCGAAATGTCACAGTGTCTAGAACTTGCTGTTTGTGAGTCAAGAGATGGCAAGGAGACACAGCTGTGCACTGCACCACATGAAGACACTTCAGTGGATGCATACACAATGGTGGTCCCTAGAGAATCATAAAGCACCTGCAAATGTCCACCACGCAGGAGCATCGTAGGGTGACATGTTTGTAATGATGGTGGAGTAAATGTACTATGGCACTGCCAGTCCTATGTTAGTATAGCATATCTAATTATTTACAGGATATAATACTTGATCATAAGTGACTTATATATTATTTTAGGGCATACTCCCATCTATCTACTGAAATCTAAAATAGTGTGTCATCCTATACTGGAACAGCATCATTTCATGTTTCTTGTATCTCCTGATTGCACCAAGAGGCCAGGTTGGCTGATTTACATTGTGTAAAAACAGTACGTGAAACACTGAACTAATATACATCTACACTGATGAGATGTGAAATCAATCACACAATTACCTTTCTTCTTTGTTGGTGAGTCTACTTTAGCAGCTGGTTTGGGTTCTGAGGGAGCCTCTATTGAGGATGCACTGGGAACATGGTCTGCATCTAACATAGATGAAATCTGAGGAGCTTCAAGAGGCAGTTCAGGAAGCTGAGTAGAAGCTGCATCACTCAGTTGCTTACACAGGGCTCTGGGTTTGGGTTTCACTATGGTACAGATAGTATCTTCAACAGTAGCATCCTTCTCAACTTCTCTTATGAGGCTGTCTTCACTGGGAATTACCCTAAAATGAGTGTTTTCTGATGGTGTGATTGTAGCTGTCCTCGGATGATAGTCATATCTTTCTCTTTTGCTGACCTGCAAAGGTGAATTGTTTAAAATTTTACTTCAAACAAATTTATGACCTATTTATTAACCTGCCGTTAGTTTTATTTATATGGTAACACATTCACTAGCTTTATTTTGTGTGAAACAGGCCACAACTGGTAAAATAACTGTAATTTGTTCAATGTCATGATGTTTATAAAAGTTACATTCATAACTGTGATCACAAAAAATCAAACACTGGAGAAAATGGTATAGACAATTTTCAGAATCTAAAGCAGAAAATGCTCACCTTGAGGGGAACAGCTTATACATACATGAAAACTTCGTTCATGACCCCAGTGCTCCTTACAGCAACTTAAAACAGTCAGTCATAAACAAGCAAGTTTCTGTTCTTACAAAATTGAATTCAACAGGAGCTAAATGGTTTTCTTTCAAAAAATGGATCTTTCAGTACATTATTCTTTCATTATGAGCAGCTGAAAAGGTTTATGAACTTTTTCCCGCCCATGTTGGGGATGGGACCCAATGTCTAGAGCACAGTAGGCAAATTTTTACCAACTGCGCTATATCCTACTCTAACTTTAGTGATTTATTTAAAATTGCAGTGTGAAAACCCTAGTTTGTTTTAGGTATCTTTAAAATTTTTCTATAATAATTTGTAATCAACATTATTTGTTAGGGTGAGACACAAAAGATATTGTATTCAATTATAAGTAAATGTACAGTGGATGTTATGAAAAATGTTAATTTTTATTTACATTCTTAACCACAAGAGGGCAATGCCATCATTATATTCTGTGAGCTCAATAAGAAATTGCTTCCTTCATTTAATAGAGGAAAAGACTTTCCTGGTGTTTAACCAGACACATCCTAGTCTCTCCAGTGAGCCCCAGTACCTTGGTAGACTCTGGGAACCCGCCCCAAGTCCACTCCATGTGAGACTCAGATCTGAGCAGGCTCTCAGCTGGCTTCACCTCCAGCTCTGAATCACTCTTAGGACACATTGCCTGGGAATAAGTGCTGCAAACACAGAAGAACAAAGAAAAACAAAGCTTCAGTCTTGGGGAGCTGCAGTGTACAGAGAAAAGTAAATTAAGTTTGAATATGTCAACTACAAGTACAAACACTCCATTGAGGGAAATGTCAATTACTCATTCCACCTGAGTTCTTTAATAAAATAAAAATGCCAGTTAGTGATTATTAAGGACTTGCCAGGTCTCCGGTAGACCCTTCACAGTATGTATTATTTGTTTGCTTCTCACAGAAAACCAATGACACAGGCAATGTTGTAAGACATAAAACACACAGGAAGGCAGGGTTAATAATAGTTAATGAGGGACTGGAGAATGGCTCAGTGTGGACCCAGGAATTCCATGGCAGCTCACAATCATCTGCTAACTGTAATCACCTGTAACTCTAACATCCTAGGGGATCCAACTTCCTCTTCTGGCTTCTGTAGGCACCAGGCATGCATATGGTGCACAGCCATATATGCAGACAAAACATCTTTACACATAAAATACATAAATTTTGAAAAATCATTGAAAATCTGAAGGTTTGATCACAGAAAATAAACAGTATGACCACATGTTCTTTTGCTATATTATTTGACACCAAAAAACTAAAATTTAATAGTAGGTAGAGCAAATTCTATGATGATTATTCAGATTTACAACCGGCAAACACCATCAGAGTAAAGTTAAATTTAGGAACAAAACAGCTGTTGAAAACAGTTCATATTCCTGTTAAATTTTACCTGATGATTACTCTACTGTTACATAAATGAAAAGTGCTATTACTATCAAATAACATAAAAGCTACTAATATGCACCTCCTCCTTCCCTTAGGAAAATAGAAATTTGAAAGATACTCACGTTTCTAATGGGGACCAATCTCCATCAGATAAGGGGTAGTGATCCCCAGAATGGAAGAGTGGAGGGTCCTTATAGTCTTCTTCCTTTAAGGAAGCATTTGAAGATCCTCTACAAAAGGGGGAAAACAGAGCAAAACCCAGAAGGGTAGAGTAATTTAAAGTCAGCTTTAAAATGGGTACCAACAAGTCTCTTAATAAATAGAAAGCTACATGATTAGTAGTATCTTTTGAAAAAGGCTAATATGAACAAGAAGGTATTCACCAACACCACTCATAACAACTCCATATAACAGACATAGAAAAGGAATGTGATTAAAATTTCCTGACAGGCTGGGGATGTAGCTCCGTGGTGAAGTACCTACCTGGCATTCATGAATGTTGGGCTCAATCAATCCCCTTCCTACTAAGTTGATGTTAAGAATATGGTTGTCTGCAACCTTAACACAGTATTACTCACTGGGTGACATTCATTCACTTCTTCCAAATTTAAGGTGATAAAATTCCATTGTAAATAGCAGGTATCAAAGATCCAGAAGTTTTTAGTATAATAATTTGTCCAAAGTAAAAAAAGCTATGATTTCACTTTTCATCTTTAGAGAATTTATCACGTCCTGTCTACTTTTCAGTCAATATGAGGTTTATATGGGTAGTAAGTGGAAATCACTGAAAACCTCTGAAAAGCTTAAAGCACATTAATGCAGGTTTAAGAGCTTCTTACAGAACACTCAAGCTCTAATAGTGTGTTGAATGTAAACTGGAATCACACCACTTAATTTGTTGGGCTAAGAGCAGAGAAAGAAAACTGCCTTTTGCTCTTTGGTATTACTTTACTTCTTTGACACAGCCTTCCCATACAGATTTAAATCACTTAAGACATGTCAATTACATATCTTTTAAGATCTTCCTATTAGTTTAAGGTTTTCCTCAATGGAATCTTCTTTCCTCTAGAGGACTGTCACACAATCCCATTCAAGAGGAGAAAAGCATACCTAAGAAGGACAGCTCACAACCATGTGTAATTACAGTTTCAGAGATTCTGATGCCCTCTTCTGCACTCTATGGGCACCAGGCATATATGTTGTGTACAAACATACATACTGGCAAAACACCCATTCACATAAACTAAATAAGTAAAATTTTTTAAAAATAAAGAGATAATCAAGCCAGGCACAGTGGCATACACCTTTAATCCCAGCACTTGAGAGGCAGAGCTCTATGAATTGGAGGTAACAACAGTCTTTACAGTGAGTTCCAGACCAGAGAGGGCATAGTGAAGCCCTGCCTCAAAATAAAATAAATCTGTGAATATAAATGCCTGTAGATTGTACTCCAATTCTTTTAAAAGTGGGAGAAATCAACAGGAAATTAAACTCAGCCCAAATTATAGGAACTTAATGCATTTTAAACTAGCTGGAAATAAGAAATAAAAAGAAATTGTTAGGTACCATGTCCAAAGATCCTATGGGTACCAGAAATCTTAGTGCAGTATTACTCAATGGATATCAGTATAGCCAATGATCTATACTTGGACACAAGACACCTCCCACAAAAGATACACCTCAGGACTCCAAGCAAAATGTGGCTTTGCTGCTGTGTGAGAACAAAGGAGGACAAAGCAGGGACATTGTAGGACCCATGCCCTTGAATACTTACCCTCACCACAGAAACCAGACTCCACAGGGAGTCTCTAGAAGTTACCTATTGATGGGGTAGCATAGCTGCCCTTGAGGGCAAGTCTGAGGCTCCCTGAACTCAGCTCCCACATTCAACTTCATAAGGAAGATTGCTTTAGTAAACTGATGGCCTGGTCTTGGCTCTTTATTTTTGCTACTGTTGGCTGGCTACTAAAATATTTCCAATAGTGGCATGGAAATGATGCTAAGTATTTGAGGCATGCTTGGAAAGGTTATGTTTTATATGTATGTACTCAAAATTGTACTAGAATATCATCCAATTTGAAAAGCTTCTTCCCTCAAAGACTTGTAGTAAATTGTCAATTAAAAAAAAGCACAATTATATATATTATGAAAGATTGCATAGTGATAACAATGATATCATTGGTTAATATATTTGCTATACTCTTAATTATTATTATTATTTTTAATGCATTCATACATGTCAAAAGAAAAGAAAGTATACTGTTTTATACACATTCTGTCATCTACCAGTGCTACCTCGTATATCTTGTGTTTTTGTGTCCCTTAACTGCATCAAGAGAAAACAGTAAAACAGCTGACTATATTCAGCCTGTTTGGCTGAATGGGTTGCCCCACAGGGACTTTGGAGACAGTATTCCAGAAGATATTCATATCTCTGACCCCAGTCCAGCCTATAAACAAGTATGTGGGAAGTCTGAGAAACGCAGTGGCTCAGGTTTCACATTGGCTAGGTCCTATATATCAAAGATATATAGAAGCAGAACTCATAACTCAGCTTTGCCAGTGCTTTAATACAAACAGAAAGACACTCTATTCAGGATTTAAAATTGTTATCAGTATAATTTATGCTGCTCTGTGAGCCTGAAGTATTTTTCACTATTTCCATCTTTCACTGCTTGTGTTTTAAAAAATGGGTATGAATGTTTTACTTGCACACCTGTCACTGTACCACGTGACACCTATAGAGGTCAGAATAAGACACAGGATCTCCTAGAACTGGAGTTAGGGATGGTTGTGTACCAACCACCATGTGGGTAGGAACCAAACACAGGAGAGTGAAGGGAGGAGGAAAGGGAAGGGAAGGGAGAGTGAGGGGAAGGAGATGGGGAGCGGAGGAGAGGGAGAAGGAAGGGGCAGGGAAGGTGAAGAGGAAGCAGGAGGGGGAAAGATCCTAGGGCTGGAAAGCTACACAACTGGAATATGATGTTCCCACTTGAATCTGCCCACTCCAAGTGAACCACTCGGTAAGAGCTGACCATTTGTTTTCCAAACTTCCTCCAGGCTGCTGCAAAGAGCACCCGGCAGCACACCCAAAGATCCAGCAGTAAGGGGTGGTGTGGTGCTTCTTCCACTGGATTCTATAACCAGCTGGGTGCGGGGTTCAGACTCACCGCACAGCTCCAAGAGTGACAGCAGCCACTAGCTCCTTGGAGCCCTACTGGGCACAGGGGCAGGGAGGCGCCCGCAGAAGCCCCTGTTCCTCCTGGAACCTTACCTTGTCGTCTGGGTCCCCTTCTCGTCATCAGAGCTCACGGCCACATCGCATGTGTCCTCCACAGCAGGAGAAGCGGCCTGCTCCTCCTTCCTGCTGTCTTGTTTGCACTTCTTTCTCCTCCGTTTCTTCTTTTTCACAGAACTTGGAGTGAAAACTGTCTCTGTCTCCAAGGCGTGAGGAATGTCGGAGCTCTGAGATGGTCTTTCATCTCCACTTGATTTCACCAAAGGGGTGTCAATATCTTTAAAGAACTGGTCTTCAGTAGGAATGGGTGAGGTGGCAAGATAAGCAGGTAACTTTTCCTTAAAGAACAAAAGAAAAGTTAACCACACAGACTGGACAGCTATCAAAAAAATAATTAATTTCTCAAGTGTACAAATTCTCACAGGGGTAGGAAGGCTTAGTCCCCAAAGGTAAGAAAGTCACCTTGCTAAGACTCAAACAAGCGTTAGTTCATTTCAGTATGTAACTGATTTGATTCCTAAAGAAAATTAACTCAGAAGCATGCCATTGCTTAATCAAGTCATTTCTTTTTCCTGCTTTCAGTCTCTCAAAGACAGTTTATCTCCAGAAGAAAAACCCACGAGAGTCTTTCAGGTCTTATACTGCTGGGAACAGTTCTCTAAAATTCTATTTATAGTGAAGTCCTGCAAATGTTTTTGCAGTTAAAATTTTTCATCCACTAAAAATGGCCCAAAGTGATGCTTTTGCCCCCAGAGCCTAAAAGTTTGGCTGTGTGTGTGTGTGTGTGTGTGTGTGTGTGTGTGTGTGTGTGTGTGTGTGTGTCTTGTTGAAATGATTAGCAAAATTTAGAATCCCTGAACAATATGCAGTTTTATCTCAGGAAATGACATTTCTAGGGCATACACAAAGCCTCTACTTAACACACAAGTGCTAAAGAAATTTTGTAAAGCAAGTGTCAATCAATACATGCCTTCCATTTCCAATTACATGAACCAGATCTGTTGGGGTACTTTCTTGGGTAACAGTTGATATGGCTGCCAGCACTGCTTGCTTGGTAAGAAGTCATCGCAGCACATGTGACCTTGGGCCTCTGCTGTCATTCACAGTTTAATGGTCTGTTTCTCCTTTGGGTTACTAGTAAGCTGTGAATGCCACCTTTTGGAGAATTTTTTTCCCCTGAAATTTCCTTAGAACAAAATCTGTTTAATTATGCATCCAACAGGAATTAGACAGCAAGAAATTAGATGGTATGTAACTGAGTACATTTGCAAGAACAACTGTGTCAGCTAGCACAGAATACACAAAAGCTGCAATTAAATTCTGAGCCCATCAGTCAGGTGGCAATGGTGGTGCACACCTTTAATCCCAGCCACTCAGGAGGCAGAGGCAGGCCTCTATGAGTTTGAGGCCAGCCTGGTCTACAGAGTGAATTCCAGGATAGCCAGGGCTACACAGAGAAACCCTGTCTCAAACAACCAAAAACAACAACAATAAAAAAATCTGAGTTGATGAAATTCTGTACTAAGAGCTATCAAAGTGGCGGCCGCATGCTAAGTATTACAAGGACTGACACAATGGTAAGAACATGGTGAAACAGAGGCCAAGGCCAAGGCCACATCTGACAGGGCGGCAGGGCAGCTGAGTGAAGCCAGGACAGGCAGGATTTACAGCCAAGTGGCCGAATGAATAGAGGGTGAGGAAAGTGGTTGTGACAGAGGCAACACCTTACAATGAATGAAATTAATGAATTTCATTCCAAATATCTTTCCAGGGATTTAAAAGAAGAAGAAGCAGCCCAATATTTAGAATAATTAAACTTTCCAACTTAATACTGAATAAATCAAATCTAGTGAACTTCTTGACCATTTGTTTCAATCAGGAGGAAGGAGAGGTAGACAGACATGCATAAATTAACCTCATAATTTAAAATGGTCAAATTTTTACACAATGGTTCAGAAAACATGTGTTTCCATAATTGGTACACACTAAAATTTTAAAATTTGGATTTGGTAAACATTTCTTTTTCTGTTTTTTTGTTTTGTTTTGTTTTGTTTTTCCAAGACAGGGTTTCTCTGTGTAGCTTTGCACCTTTCCTGGAGCTCACTCTGTAGACCAGGCTGGCTTCGAACTCACAAAGGCGTGCGCCACCACCCTCTGGCTGGTAAACATTTCAAAGCTGGAAGTTTTGTTCACCAGGCTCATCACTAACATACAGCTGTCACTACACTGTCTGAATGCCCCTAAGTTACCCAGAAGTCACCCAGGTGAGGCTGATGTGCCCTGATTTCTAGAGATTTCTTTTAGTGGTTTTGTTACATATCAAGTTGTCCTGTACTTGTCTTCAAAGCTGTTTTGGTTTTTGGTAGTGTCTTCTTGCTTTATTACAGAAGTATTTGAGGTGAGGCAGAAAACACCCAGATGTCTACTTTGCTGGTTGGTTTTTGTCAACTTGGCACAAACCTGATGTATCTGGGCAAAGGGAATTTCAGCTGAGGAACTGCCTCCATCAGATTGCCCTTTAGACAAGTCTGTTGTTGCACAAATCCTAAATGGTCTTATAAACCTTCAAACCTGGAGCCAGGTATCAGGGTAAAAGCTGAAAGATCAGAGAAGCAGAGCAAGCCACAGCCACCACCTCTTACCTCACCAACTCCTCAGCCTGAAAGAGCCAGTTCCTGTCTCCTGCCTTGTATTCCTTTCTCTGCCCAGCCATATCACCTCCTGTCTCAACTTTCCTAGTGCTGGGATTAAAGGTGTGTGTGCCACCACTGCCTGGCTCTGTTTCTCTTTTAGACCGGATTAATCTGTAGCCCAGCATGGCCTTGAACTCACAGAAACCAGACAGATCTCTGCCTCTGGAGTGCTAGGATTAAAGGTGTGTGACACCACTGCCTGGCATCTATGTTTAATCTAGTGGCTTGTTCTGTCCTCTGAACTTCAGGGCAATTTATTAAGTGTACAAGCAATATATCACCACCACAGTCTGTGGGGGCATTTTCTTGATTGATGATTCATGTGGGAGGGCCTGCTGCTGTAGGCAGGTGGTCATGGGCTGTACAGGAGAGCAAGCCAGAGAAACAGGCTAGTAAGCAGCAATTCTCCATCGCCTCTGCTTTAGTTTCTGCCACTAGATTCCTGCTCCAACTACCCTTAATGAAGTAAGCAGTAGGGTGAAATAAATTCATGGTCTTGATCACAGCAATAGAAACATAATTAAGACATCCACTAATAAGACAATGGTTCATAAACCAGGCAAATCCACACCATGGACACTGTGCAGCTGTTAAAAACAGGGGTTGCTTCAGAATTGCTGACTGAAAGGAATGTTGATGATGAGCGGAAAAAGTCAGATAAAACAAAAACTAAATAGCACCTAACGGGGTTTTGTTAACTTTTAATCCCCTTTAAAAGCAGGTCTTTATTTATTATTATTTTATTCATAGTATGTGTCATAGAATAGAATTCTAATATTTGTTGGGTGAATTAGGACTTTTTTTATTGTATTATTATTTTTGTTTATTTGAAAGAGGGCCTTAGTACATAGCTTTGGCTATCCTAGAATTTACAATAGTGCAGAAAAATCTGATCAATTTAGTCATACATGAAACAGAAAAAGTGTTGCAAGCCTGACGTTCAGGCTGCCCTTGCTAAAGCAGGCTTTACAACTGCTGGCAGCACCTGTAACCAGGCACAGGCCTGTCTAGAACCCCCATCACTGGTTTATGTAACAATAATCAGCGAAAGGGGTTACACTTGATTTTCAGAAACATATCAAAATACTTTATGTCTGTGCCAGCTAATACATACTATGCTTTACTCTGCTCTTTGCCTTTGTTTCTGATGAGGTGAAATTTTGTTTAGGTCATATAAATGCAAATGAGGTAATAAAACACCAGGAAGATGTTCAGGAAAACAAATGGATAAGGTTCTTTTATAAGCTGCCTACACTGGTGCTCTTTCCCAAGCTTAAAAAAAAAAAAAAAAAAAAAATCAAAATAATTTTGCTTTGCTATTGGTTATTTTTGTTGTCATTTCTTCTTTGTAAATTCACAATATCACATTAGTCATTCACCTTCAAACCCCAAAAGCCTCTGTATCCTGATCATCTGAAGCTTCTTATTTTTGCTGTAATATTTAATTTCTTATGGAAAAAGACACAGTGATGCTTCTACAGATTTTTTTAAAAAGAGCCATATTGACTACATCAAAAAGAGTTTGTTCTTGTTCCAACTCAGGTATACCTGGGAGTGCACAAGGACATGGGACTTGCACAGACGGTGCTGTCTTGTAGAAGAAGCCACATGTACACTAATATATAAGAAGACAGAGGCCAATTAATTTAACTGTCTTGAAATCATAACTGAGTGTCTCTTAAGGTCACAGGTATAATATTCCTAACCAAACAAAAGAATCATTTAAAAAAACTTTATTATTAGTGTGTGGGGGTGTTGTGTGCAGCATGGCCACAGTATGGCATCAGGACAACTTTGTGGAGAAGTTCTCTCCTTCCATCTTTATATGGCTCCAGATACCAAATTCAGGTTGTCAGGCCAGTATGGAATGTGTCTTTACCTGCTGAGCCATCTCTGGCCCTGTAAACATGTCTTCCAAATTTAAAGGTCACATATGTACATACCCACACATAGTCTAAGAGATATGCCTCAAGGTGGAACTGAATAAATTCAAGTCAAGCCATAAGCTTTAATGGACACGAAGCAGGAAAGCCCTTTGGTACTAGATGATATTCTCCAAACTCTGAAAGCTGGTGTGAGCCCCTTTTTTTTTGTTTGGAAGTTTGGTTCAACATGCAATGAAAGCTTGTTTAGTGAGTAATAATCATCCACACAATCATGGAAACAGCTGACCAGTTGTTTTGAGACATGTTCTAGAGACATGTTCTAGAAGCCTGACACGAAGTGCAAAGGGTCTGTGACCTTTGAGAACTTACATATTCTTCTTCAGTCTCCTCTACAAAGAAGGCTTCTCCATTATCACCCAATTTCATATGAAGATCCACTGCACTGCCATTGATTTCTATATCAATCTAAGGAGGAAACAAACATAATTAAGCACAAAGACCCTTTCATTTAGGCTAACCTAAACCTCAATTCTTGGCTCACAAGCCAAACTTGGCACTGGGTTTCTAGAGATATAGCCTAGAGAAACACTATTACTAGCTCTAGAGCCCATCCCCAAAAGAAAGAAACTTGGGTACTGGGAGAGACAGGCAGCCAGGGATTGAAAGAAAATGTTTTCACAGCATTTTAAAAGTTTACTGCTTAATCTCTCCATTTTCTTTTCTTTTTGGAAGATAGGGTCCTGCTATGTAGTCTACCCTGATCTTGACCTCAGCATTCTGCCTGAGATTTTTTCAAGTGCTGCGGTTACAGGTGTGAGCCACCATGCCTAGCTTAACCTGCCAAATACTGTGAAATGGGAGAAATATTGTTAACAAACATTTCTGTGCTTCCCAAGTTATAGCATGGGCAGGACTTGTCCAGAATTCAAACACTCAAATGTTTCAGTAACCCTAGTGTTGAGCTGTGAGTGAAGTCCCTATTACTTTTCTCCCAGGTCACCAGGCAACACCAGATGCTGTCCGGACCAGTGAGCAATCACTGGTCTTCTGCGGAGTCTGCTGCTGACTGGCACTGTGTTTGTTATTCCATTCAGCCACAGAGCAAAGCCTGAGGGGCATGGGGCTATAGATACCTAACTTTTGTGTATGTGTGTATATGTATGTATATCTTTGTGTATGTGTGGTTCTATGGAGGTCAGAGATCAACCTCAGGTTGTGAATCCTTAGGCATTGCTCACCTTTTTTGAGACAGGGCCTCTCACTGGGACCCGGGGCTTGCCTGATTAGGGTAGGTCGGCTGGGCAGAAAGCCCTAGGGATCTGCTTGTCGGTCTCCCCAGAGCTGAGACCAACAAGCACACGCTACCATTCCCAGCACTCCCGTGAGTTCTGGAGAACCAAGCTTGGGTCCACATGCTTGTACAGCAAGCACTTTACTGACTGACCATTCCTCAAGACCTCATGTAACATCTTATAAAAATGAACAATTCAAGGAGAAGATTATTGGCCAAGATATGAAAATACAGAAAAAAAGAACTGATAGCACTGTAAGAAAAATTTGGCTTTCCTAAGGTCTCACCTGGTAAGCTAGTCCACATCCCTCAGCAAGGAAACTTCTTGCCACAGATGGAGACCACTACAGAAAACCACAACCTCCCAATGCAGAGTTGTGGAGCCCAGTGTCAATGTACACACCAACCTCCTGCAGGCAGGGGACGTTGCGGAAGAGGGGCAGAAGGCTGTAAGAGCCGGAGGACCAGGGAGTTGCTGTTTGTGTTTTCTGGGAAGGTTAGAGGTGACCCTACAGAGCCTCACCAACATGTGGCTACTTAACATGAGCTGAACAAAGACAACAACAATACACGTGCTAATGTGAATGGGTGTGGGGAGACCAAGAGGCTTCAACCTTACACACATAACTACAGGTAACTATAGTATGCTGAGTGTGAGAAAGTCTTCTCCAGGCAAGAGTAAACCAATTGCTTATTATGATCTGTCCTGAAAACATACATACAAATAACATTACACAGACTAAGTGGGATACACTTAATGTATTTCAGAATGAACATACACATACACACACACACACACACACACACACACACACACACACACACACACACACCAACAATGAAAAGAGAAGTCATGAATTAGCCAGGCAGTGGTGGTACATGTCTTTAATCCCAGAACTCAGGAGGCAGTGGTAGGTGGATTTCTGTGAGTTTGAGGCCAGCCTATAGTTAATTTTTTAAAATTATTTTCTCTTTGGGGTGGGGGTGGGGGGCTGGCATCCAGTTCCCAAATAATTACACGGAAACTTATCCTTTCTTATAAATGCCCAGGCTTAGCTTGGCTTGTTTCTAGCCAGCTTCTCTTAATTAATTATCCCATCTACCTTTTGCCTCTGGGCTTTTACCTTTTTCTATTTCTATATACCTTTCTCACTACTCTGTGGCTTGCTGTCTCCTGATGTCCTCCTCTCCTTCTCCTTTTCTTGCTGCTCCTCCTTCTCTTTTTCTCCTTCTATTTATTCTCTCTGCCTGCCAGCCCCTCCTATCCTTTCTCCTGCCTTGCTACTGGCCATTCAGCTCTTTATTAGACCATCAGGTGTTTTAGACAGGCAACGTAACACAGCTTCACAGAGTTAAACAAATTCAACATAAAAGAATGCAACACATCTTTGCATCATTAAACAAATATAACACATCTTCAACTAATATTATACAACACCAGCCTGGTCTACAGAGTGAGTTCCAGGACAGCCAAGGCTACACAGAGAAACCCTGTCTCAAACAACCCCCCCCCCCAAAAAAAAAAAGAATTGGAATAAGGGGGGCTGGAGAGATGGCTCAGTGGTTACGAGTACTGACTTTTCTTCCAGAGGACCCAGCTTCAATTCCCAGCACCTACATGGCAGCTCACAACTGTCTGTAACTCCAGTCCTAGGGTACCAAAACACCAAAGTATATAAAATAAATAAATTGTATTAAAAAAAAGAATTGGAATAAGAACGGTGAAGATAAATAACAGATACACATATTAATAATTCTGTGAATTTTATCAATGTAAGCTAAAATTTATGGGCAACAATATGGGAAACAGGAATATTGGCACAGTAAGCCTAGTGAGGAGAAAAATCAAACATTCTCCTACAAGTGGATCCATGGTGAAGAAACCCTAGCAGAGACCAAGGGATTCAAAGTTAGTATTCACAGTAATAAGATGTGCAGTACAGATGATGGGCACCCTTTAGCAAGACTGAGCATCGTTCTGTATTCTTATTTCAAAGGACCAAATGGCAAACTCAAACTGAGGGACAACCTAGACAATAATTCCTATATTGCTGTGTTCCTTACCAGACAGTCAGGAAGGAGCATTAACGAAATGCTGTGCAAAATAACATTAGAAAGGATACTAGAACAGAAATCAGACAGTCCTAGGAAAACTGATGAAATCTGGAGAACGTCTCTGGTCGACAGTATAAGCAAGTATAAATTTCTGGTTTGGGCAAAAGTACAATGGACATATAAAATGCTAACATAAAGTAGAAGAAATTGGGCAAAAGAAACTTTTAATTTTTATTTCTTAATTTTTTTTTTTTTTTAAATTTCTGAATACTGGGAGGAGGGCAGAGGCCACAGTGTTCAGTGAGGTTTAAGAACAACTTTCTGGAGTTGATTCTTTTCTGCCATCAGGTTCCAGGGACTGAACTTAGGCCATCACACTTGAATGACAAGCATTGTCACTACTGACCATTCTTACCCACCTAAGAGAAGTTTTTCTGAATTAATTATATTTGTGACTTGCCTGGAAGTCAAAAATTAATGAAAAAAAAAAAAAGTTTAAAATAATCAATGGCACTTGGGAGGCAGAGGCAGGTGATCTCTGTGGATTTGAGGCTAGCCTGGTCTACACAGCAAGTTTCAGGACAGCCAGGGATGTAAAGCAGACCCATCTCAAAAGCCAAACAAATAAATGAATAAATAAATGAAAGCTGGCTAGCATGACACAGGTCCATAATCCCAGCACCAGGAGAATGAAGAAGGAAGATAGTAAATTTTAAGGTAGCCTGGACTATATACAGAGCTCCTGGCCAACTTGGACCACATGGTGAGACCCTGGTTTCAAACAAACAAGGTAATAAAGTATTATAAGAAACAAAAACATGGGAACTATCAGGGACTAAAGGAGACTAGGGTGACAGGACAACAGAATGCATTGTTGTTTGTTTTTACTCTTGGGGGGGGGGCACCACCCAGCTCCCAAATAAATCAAACACATGGAGGGCTTTTGGGGGGCGTGGTTCAAGACAGGGTTTCTTTGTGTAGCTTTGGAAGCCTCACTCTGTAGACTAGGCTGGCCTCAAACTTGTAGAGATCCATCTGCCTCTGCCTTCCAAGTGCTGGGATTAAAGGCGTGTACCACCACTTATTAATTATAAATGACCAACCTTAACTTGGCTTGTTTCTAACCAATTTTTCTTAAATTATTCTGTCTTTTGCCTCTGGGCTTTTACACCTTTCTCTAGTTCTGTATACCTTTCTTTACTTCTTACTCCACTGATGGTTGGGTGGCTTGCTCCTAGATCTCTTTCTTCCTTCTCTCAGATTTCTCCTTCTATATATTCTCTGTCTGCCAGCCCTGCCTATCCTTCCTCCTGCCTTGCTATTGGCCATTCAGCTCTTTATTAGACCATCAGATGTTTTACACAGGCACAGTAACGCAGCTTCACAGAGTTAAACAAATGCAACATTAACAAAAGTAACACACCTTAAAATAATATTCCCCAACAAAAATGTTTCTCATCCTGGTTGTAGAGAGTTTGCATGATAAAAATATATTTAAAACTTGTCATGTATTCTTTAGGTATATGTAATTTATCATATGTTAATAAAAACCAATCAAAAAAAGTAAGTATACAGTTAATAATACACTAATTATCCTACACAAACATATTCCCTTTATCTTTTAGAGGAAATGGCCACATTTGTGTGCTCGAGCATGCGTGTGTAGCACAAATTCTAATTGGTCTTAATAATTAGAACCTGGAGTCAGATATGGGGGTAAATGCTGAAAGATGAGAGAAGAACAGCCCAAGTCACCTCTGACCTCCAGGACTTCTCAGACTGAAAAGGGCCGAGCTGCTGTCTCCTCCCTGCCTTATCACTTTCTCTCTCTGCCCAGCCATATCACTTCCTGTCTCTCTATACAGACCTCCAGACCTCTAGGTTAGCTAATGGCTAGCTCCACCCTGTGATCTTCAGGCAAGCTTTATTTGTTAGAGCACAAACAAAATATCACCACACATGTGCATGTGTGTGTATGTACATATACACTAGTGAGCCTTCTTCCCTAATGTACCCCCTAAGATTCTGGGATATAAAGGAAGGAACAGGAAAGAAGATATTTTTTCTTTTCTTGTGCCTGTGTATTATGCTCCTAAAAGTACTGGAGTTTTGACAAGGTATTTAACTTTGACTGGGTATTTCATAGTTAACCGTTAATGGAATTAACTGTGGCCTGGTAAAGAAATCCAATCCCTGATTACAAAGCACGCAGGGAAGGCCCTATCAGTCCCTCATCACCTATCAAGGACAAGTGCTTACATACATCTGCTGCAGCTCTGCTCTCAAAGGCCAAAAGACTGAGGCAACCTATCAATTAGAAACCTGGTTCCAGGGTGTGGTGGGGTTGAGTGTGACTGGGGAGGACTTGCTGGGAAGACCCCCACAGAAATTTTACAAACAGATCCTAAGACACCTAATGAGAAATTCAAGGCATAAATGGTTCAAGTCCCCCCAAAACAGTTCTAATCTGAGAGTATTAATAATAGTGTCACTACAAAAAATACAAAGAAGCCAGTGGTTAATCCCAGACTTTAATGTCAGCATTTGGAAGACAGAGGCAGATGATTCTGTGAGTTCAAGGCCAGCTTGGTCTACAGAGTGAGTTCAAGACAACCAGAGCTACACAGAGAAACCCTGTCCCGGAAAAACAAACAAAACAAAAGAACTACAAAGAAAACAAATACCAAGGCAACCATGGCTGGACAATGCTGCCTAGAGCGGAGCTGCCAAGTCAGAAAGTAAAACTGTAGCTGCTTTTGCTTTCTAAAGGTGATCAAGCAGGGCTAGCCTGTAAAATCTAGTGGAAAATGATTCCATCATACTCCCTGGGGGGAAAAAGTCTAGTTTGAGAAACCCATTTTCTTTCACTTTCAAAAAAACCTAAGTTTAAAAAGAGGGAAATGTGTACCAAGAAAAATATCAACTAAAAGCTCATCACTCTTAATTTATACATGTTGGTCTTTGACACACATTTCCACCTGTGCCAGGAAGTGGGGGAGTGTTCTCATAGGGCTCCAAAATCTTAGTAAGAGTATCTAGCATTATCCAGGTAGATAATGTGGGCATGAAAAGTTGCCAACTACACGCTCTACAAAATTTTACAATTAACCATTAACCTGGTTTTAAAACTTCAAAACCCTCCCTACTGCCCAATACCCAAGGGAGAAAAAGGATATTAAAAATAATAATAATAATAATAAAATAAAAACAACCCAACAACACTCCCCCCAATAAAAGCAAAAGAGGAAAACCACATTCAATTGGGGAATTAATTTCTTTTAAACAAATATAATCTACCCCTGATAACATGAGCTTAGTCTACTTACTCATAATCATTTAATAGTATTATCCTATCTATCTATCTATCTATCTATCTATCTATCTATCTATCTATCTAACTATCTATCTATCCCTATCTACCTACCTACCTACCTACCTACCTACCTACCAACCAAGCTGACCTCGAATTTGCTTTGTGGCTGAGCTGAGGATGATCCTGACCTGTTCCTTCTGTCTCTGTCCTCAGTGCTTAGATTATAGGCACTGGCCAGCATGTCTGACTTATGCAGTGACAGTGACTGAACCCATGGCTTTGTGCATCTATGCAAATATTATATTGACCTACGCATATAGCTCTCGCGTGTATATTTTTAGACAGACTTTTTATTAAGATTTTAAAGCATGTAGTGCACCACAGGATACATGTGGGGGTCAGAGAATAGCTTTCCAATATGCTCTCTTGTTCCACCCATGTGTGTCTCAGGAGTTAAACTTGGGTCATCAGGATTGATGGCAAAAGCTTTAACTCACCAAGTCATCTGGCTGGCCCTACACTATTTTAAAGTGCTGTCTTAAGCAAAGGAAAATTTATTTTTTGAAATAAGCCCAACTTCCTTGTTTGTCACATCTTCAGTTTTGTTCTGAGTTTCAACATGTAGGATTATCTTCACAATTTCAGTTTCTTTTTCATTTGGAGAAACTTCCTGTAATAGAATCTTCTGAATTTAGAAGCTACTTCAAAAGCCAAGGGTTCCTTACCACTGCTCTCAATAGCATTTCCGTTTAAAAAAAAAAAAAAAGTAAGGGGGGCAGATCACCATGATGCCTTGTGGACTGACACCCCTTTCCCACCTTAAAGCAGGCTAACCACGGCACTTACCACTTTCTCCTTGGATCTCAGGACTCCCAGCTTCCCAAAGCGCACATGGAAAGGTGAGCACTGATAGGTGCCATCCTGCTGTCTCACCACGACCACATCGATGCACCCAGACAACGTGGCTTGGTTAATGCCCTTGTAGAGTTCCTTGACAGTGACGAGCACCTGCCCAGCCAGCTGGCCCACATAATTCATGGTTTGAGACTGTAAGAAAACAAATATGATGTCAGCACTGAGTTTGACAACTAATAACAATGACAAAAAAAAAGTTCTGATTAGACATATACTCTTGTTTGCTATTCGGAGCCCATTCCTCTCAGCGGCTGCTGCTGTGTTCACACGTCTCTACAAAAGGACAGACATCTCAGACTGGGAGGCTGCCTCTAGGTGGGGCCTGAGGCTGCGGAAGTTCCATTTCCTTTTACACCCCAAGGGTGGGGCCAACTTGTCATCATGGAGTCCACTAACTCCATCTCCCTCCACCAACAGCTCAGGACCTGTAGAGAACCAACTAAAGAACCCCGACCGCCACAGCTGCATCCCTGCCAAGGTGGTTTGGAGCCCACTGCATCCAGTCTGACCACAGCAGCCAAGCAGAAAAAGGCCCAGGGGGTTACCTCCACCAGAAACTAGAGACCCATCTTCTCACAGAAAACAAGGGATGCAACTGATACTTGAGATGTTTTGGTTCAGATACATGCTGCATCAAACAAACTACAGTGAGCTGCCCCAGGACTAACACATGCTAACATTACTTTTTAGGGAAATCCCTCAGTACCTCAATACAACACTTACGTCCCACAATATTCAGAGCACAAAAAGGGTTTTTAATTTGTTCCTCAACCTCAACTCACTACTCTAATCATGATCACCAGAGCTCTGCAATTTGAAGGAGGGGATGTGTACCTACCCCTCACCCCCATTCTTCCACTGGGAAACCCAATCCACATAGAAACAAACCCTTTAGTCCTTAGGCTGTCAGATCTCATCCCAGTGGTTGAGTACACCATCACTCAGCAGACACTTTAATGTTATGTCAAAGCCAAATCCATGGAAAGTCCGATCCCTTGATGTAGGATCAGAGAAACCCTCCAGTTCTAGGCTAATCCAGAAGTCAATTTTTATCAGACTTTAGAAGTGAGTCCAAGCTATTAATCGTGTGCACAGCGGTCTCTCTAAATCAGCTCTGGAGTTACCCTAAGCTCAAAGTTCCATCTCTGTAAAGTTCTAGAGAGACATTCTGTGTTGTCAGGTAAGTCCTAGGTGGAACAGGGACAAAGTGCTGATCTCTTAAGAAAATGAAGGGGACCTGCCAGTCCCTGTCTGCACATAACTCACCCTACTCTCCAGAGACCAGCAGTGCCTAAGGTAGCACAGATTCCATTCAACAGTCTACACAGAGATGACTATAACCAGGGTCTGGCTGCTTGGCAGCCTGAGGCATATAACCCTGATCATTCCCTTGGGTTATTTATGTAACCAAGGCTTCAAACTGCATACACCAAAGAGCTGGCTTTGAGCAACGTACCAGGAGCCAAACTTATTATAATCTCCTAAAGTGGAGTCCTTTATGTTACAATTATGAAACAATTACAGACCAGTAGTTTTGGTTTTAGGATGATTGATTTGGCTTTGATAGCAAGGCCAGGTTAAGCATACATCAAATACTCAATTTAAAAAAAAAATTATTTATTTATTTTTTGAGACAGGGTCTCACTGTATAGTCCTGGCTGGCCTGAAACTTGAGAGGTAAACTAGGCTGTTTTTGAGCTCACAGAGATCTGCCTCCTGAATGCTGGGATTAAAGGCTGTGCCACCACACCTGGCCAATCTCTCTCCAGGGTCTCACTTTGTAGCCCAAGTTGGCCTAGAACTCAAGGCCAAATAAAATCCTATTTTAGCCTCTCAAATGCTGGGAATACCGGTGTGTGTCACTATATTTGACAATAATTACTTCTTGAATGAAGAAAGGAAAAATCAAATGAACTATCAATAAATAAGCTAAGACCAACCAACAAGCTAACAACATATACTGTGTGTAGCAGAAATACTGTTCCATCAGAATACTCATGGATCATCTCATTGTATTTTTTCCTTCCTTCCTTCTTTTTTGTTTGTTTATTTTGTTTCATTTGCAATGGTCTCACAATGTAGCCCTGGCTGGTCTGGAATTCACTATGAGGATGCTGCTGGCCTTGATTCACAGAGATCCACTCGCTTCTGCCTCCTGATTTCTACCAGGCCTGGCTCACTGTATTTTTAAAAATTAGCCTTTCTAGATCAGGAGTTCAAGGATAGCCTGAACTATCTCCAAAACACCAAATAAAGAAATGAATTAACAAACTGTCTTTCTATACTGTGAGATCTGTATAGACCTGCAGAGTTCTAAGAAAGAATACCTCAAAAAACAAAACAACAATATATATAAAACAATTATACAGCTGGGCAGTGGTGGCACGCGCCTTTAATCCCAGTGCTCAGGAGGCAGAGGCAGGTGGATCTGTGAGTTCGAGGCCAGCCTGGGCTACAGAGTGAGTTCCAGGACAGGCACAAAGCTACACAGAGAAACCCTGTCTCCAACTCCCCCCCCCGCCCCCCCCACAAAACCTAAGAAAGAATATGGCTGCATTCAAATCCTCTGAGTGTCTTCTATTTGGGATACACCAGCAAAATATCATAACCAGTGCCGCTTTGTCCCCAGTCCCTAGCAACCATTAATATGTTCTCTATTTCTGAAATGTCTGCCATTTTAGAAAGGAAGTCATATAAACAGCATCATAAAGTATGTAGCCTTTTAGGACTGCCCTCTTTACCTCATATTTTACTGCAGACTTATCCAGATGTCTATCAATAACTCATTCCATTTTACTGCTACATAGTATTTCACGGCATAGACTTACCATTAAAAAAATAAAAACAAAAAACAACCCCCCCCCAAAAAAAAAACAAACCTATTTACTTGTTGAAGAACAGGTTAACTGCAGTTTCTGGCTATTACAAATAAAGCCGTAGTTGTAAGTATATGTCATACAGGGTCTGTGTGAATGTGGATTTTCATATTCTAGGATAAATGCTAGGAGTACAACTGAATGCAACTTTTCAGTTGCAAACAAAGTTCAGGCTTAGCTGTTTTGGAACAGTCAAGACTACTACTTTCCAGATCACACTATCATTTTACATTCCCACTAGCAATGGGAGGTGGGAGGTAAAATTATCTGGCATACCTCACACAAGGTGGCATTACTGTTTACTTTAGCTATGACAATAGATAATGATTTGCATTTCTTTAATAGCTAATGATGCTGAACGTCTAATTCATGTACTTCTCTGCCACGTGAGTGTCTGTCTACGGTCTCAAAGAGGCCTTGTCTCACTTAGAGGGAAAGGAAATGCAGATCTTTGTCCTCAGTTGGTCAATGATTATCTCTAAAACCAGAACAGAGGTGAAATTCATTTGGAGGTAGTTCATCACATCACCTCTTTTACCAAGAAATTTCCACTGTCACTTAGCACACTCTGATTTTTCCTGTTCTCTAAGTCACACATGTTCACAACATGCGTTTTGCCTGTTGCAACATATTAGCTAGGTGGCACACAGAATCTGTACATGACTGATTGAGGATGGCAATGCTAAAATGAATATTGTTACAATTTGTACAAAAAACTGTAACAGTATAGACCTTAAAAAAACTGAAAATGGCAACTTTTAAACATCTATATACAGCCATAAACAACCATGTTCTAAATGTGTAAGAAGCTTACATCAACTAGAGCACAGAATCCATAATTAAGTGTAACAACATCTATTCAGGATGATTTTAATTACTGTGGTTAAGAGATGTGCTGTTATACATAAAAATCTATTGTGCAAAAGCTGGTTGCTAAATGTAGAAAAATACAGGCTGTCAAGAAACTTCTTTTCTCTTGGCAGACATGAAGCCATTGGGTTTATATTTTGTAGGCTGAGGAAAACAAAAGTATATAGAGGTCAGGGTCTTACCAGGTACTACACCTCAGAAATGGCCAGGAGAAACCTGCTGACTATACAATATATCTAGTAGCAGTAACTTTCAGAATGCTCACTACACCCCAACTTAGACTATTTTTAGACAGGATTTCACCATATGGTCTGGGCTATCCTGGAACTTACTATGTAGACTACACTAGCCTCAAACTCTCAGAGACCGACCTGCCTCTGCCTCCAGAGTGCTAGGACCAAAGGTGTGTATCACCATGCCAGCAAATATTTTAAAAGGAAACTCAAACTTCAGAGACATAGGTGATGCTTTAAGGTGGATATTTATGTGTGTCTCCCTTCATGTACTGAAGCCCTAACCCCTAATGTGAAGGGATTTGGAGACGGGCCTTTGGAAGGTAACCAGGTTTAGATGAGGTCATGAAGGTGATTAGAAGAGTCTCACCCTCATTGGTGTCCTCATATACACAGAAAGACAGAGATAAGAGTCAGCATTCTCTTTTACCCTGCCATATGAGGACACAGCAAGACATCTGCAAGCCTGTAAAAAGGTGCCCCTCCCCGACCCCCACTCCAACACATACACACACTGAATCTCTCAGCAACTCAGCCTTGGACTTCAAGGCACTCTAGAATTGTAATAAATGTCTATTGTGTAACCCACACTCGCTTAGGTCAGATGCCATCCATGACCTTTTGTTCTAGCCATCCTGTCTTCTTAAACAGCATACGCTGCCCTCGCTTCACCCCCGAAACATACACTACCAGCTAGAGACCACTTTCCCAAACAACTCGACTTCTTATGATACATGAGAAGTCACCCTCCACTGACAGTCACAACTACATCTTACTTATTAGTCTGGGCTGTGCACCCTTACTCTTTAAACAATGACTGGGCTGCTCCTCTCACTTTTATGACAAACCAGACACAATGGTTCAGTAACAACCTGAATCATAGAGTAGTATTACTTCCCAAGAAGACATATTGTTTGATGACCACTTAGTACTTTTTAAGATCAAATGCACCTCATTCAATCTTCAAAAATAGGACACAGGTTTGCAAGGCCAGCATTATTTATTTTATGAATGAGACAGAGACAAGTCATTTGCGTCCCACTATTGTACACTACTGTACACCAGGTGGTTCCATCTCAACCCAGGGTTCCTGAGGGCTGAGTTTACCTTGTAGGGTAAAAAGGGCCAGTGAAAGAAAACCCTGGCCCCAAAA